GACCCCTTCCTGACACCTTACACTAAAATTAACTCCAGATGGATTAAGGACTTAAACATAAGACCTGGCACCATAAAAACCCTAGAAGGAAATCTAGGCAAAACTATCCAGGACATAGGAGTAGGCAAGGACTTCATGAACAAAACACCAAAAGCATTGGCAACAAAAGCCAAAATAGACAAATGGGACCTAATGAAACTCCACAGCTTCTGCACGGCAAAAGAAACAGTCACTAGAGTGAATCGGCAACCAACAGAATGGGAAAAAATTTTTGCAGTTTACCCATCTGACAAAGGACTGATATCCAGAATTTACAAAGAACTCAAACAGATTTACAGGAAAAAAACAAACAAGCCCATTCAAAAGTGGGCAAAGGATATGAACAGACACTTTACAAAAGAAGACATATATGAGGCCAACAATCATATGAAAAAATGATCATCATCACTGGTCATTAGAGAGATGCAAATGAAAACCACATTGAGACACCATCTCATGCCAGTTAGAATGGCGATCATTAAAAAATCTGGAGACAACAGATGCTGGAGAGGATGTGGAGAAAAAGGAACACTTTTACACTGTTGGTGGGAGTGTAAATTAGTTCAACCATTGTGGAAGACAGTGTGGCGATTCCTCAAGGCCTTAGAAATAGAAATTCCATTTGACCCAACAATCCCATTACTGGGTATATATCCAAAGGGCTATAAATCGTTCTACTATAAGGACACATGCACACAAATGTTCATTGCAGCACTGTTTACAATAGCAAAGACCTGGAATCAACCCAAATGCCCATTGATGATAGACTGGATTGGGAAAATGTGGCACATATACACCATGGAATATTATGCAGCAATCAGAAATGATGAGTTTGTGTCATTTGTAGGGACATGGATGAATCTGGAGAACATCATTCTCAGCAAACTGACACAAGAACAGAAAATGAAATACTGCATATTCTCACTCATAGGCGGGTGATGAAAAATGAGAACACATGGACACAGGGAGGGGGGTACTAAACACTGGGTCTATGGGGGGAAAAGGGGAGGGCCAGTGGTGGTGGGGGGAGCTGGGGAGGGATAGCCTGGGGAGAAATGCCAAATGTGGGTGAAGGGGAGAAAGGAAGCAAAACACACTGCCATGTGTGTACCTATGCAACTGTCTTGCATGTTCTGCACATGTACCCCAAAACCTAAAATGCAATTAAAAAAAATAAAATCCAAACTGCTGCTGTGGGGATCAGTCCCGCTCTGCTGGGAAAGGGTATTTGAAGATTGCAAAGCTCATTACAAATTCAGGAGGACTGTCCTGGGCTTCTCGACTAGCATAGGCTCCATTATTACAGGCCTACGGCGCCACAACATACACCCACAACCAGGCCCACCTTCATTATTCTCTCTGGAGGGAGGACTTGGCACTCTGCCGGTGGAACAGGTGTCTTCTTTGTTCTATACTATCTAATAGTATAATAATCTTCTGTCCCAGGGTCTCTGAGTGATTAGAACATATCTCAGGTGCTGCCAAGAAATTCGCCTCACCTGGGAAGTGCAATCATTGCTTTATGGTGCCCTGCCTAGAGTGAGATATTTATATTATCAACTACGATTTAGGTCTAAAAATAAGGGAAGTTGTCAGAGCTCAGGATTATTGATACAAATGTTAATGACAATACTGACAACTTAATGTGAAGAGCCCTGGTTGTGTCCAGGTTTCTAAACTGGGAGGGAGGTAAAATTAATAAATTAGGTCAGTGACAATACCCCGAGAGGGAGGGAATGATCCTCCCAGCTCATTGGATCACCTTTTTTGGCCTTCACAGAAAGAACAGCATGTTAGAAGCACAGTGTCACTAAAGACACACACCCCACACAGAGGAATGAAACTACTAATAGAATGAATATATTAATTAACTGAGCCATGGATGAGCTCTACTCCATCAAATAATAGGGCAAATAAAAGTAACCCTATTATTAGTAACCACAGATTGCTCATGTTCAAATAACGATAACAACTGAGTTGGGGTTGTTAGCGTGGTGTCAAAAGAAGAGCAGGCGGAATCTCGAGTCTTCGGGTCTTGTTCCCAGTTTACATTGGCCAGCCTCATGACCTCTGGGCCTCAGTTTCCTTAACAGCAAAATGAGGGGGTGGGACCAGAAGACTTCTAAGGTCCCATCCGGGTTTGACATGCTGAAGTTTAGCATTGAGTGTAATTTCATTGGTCTTTGTTGATGCAGAAGCCACTTCAGGACCCTACGGTGCCTGTGTCGCCATTTTGAACATCAATGGCCTTTGTCTGGGAGAGTGTAAGCTACGGAGAGGCCCGATTAATAGAATACGAGATCACAGGGCCGACAGTTGTCGCTTTCTTCCTTTCTGCAGCACTTCTCTCCTTGGGGAGCGAAACAAGACTGGTCAGTTTTGCTTCCTTTTTTTATTTTCTGGTTTTTATCTACACCTCCAGCAGAGATTTTGGTTTTTCATTTACTTTCACTGCAGGTTTCAATCTTCCCCACCCCCAAAACAATATCCTCTACCCTGTTGCATGAAATAAAAGAAGAGCTTCAAATTGGCTCTGCCTCCTTAAGCTTTTGGAAACGTTTAAATGTGCAGGTCTACAAAACCTAAATTTGGGGCCTGCACTGTTCGGCGGTATCTCTTTGCCTCAGAGGAATCTTCTGGCTTTTCTCCATTTCAAAGCACCTAGGTCCACACAAATGCTCTCGAAGAGAGAGCTTTTTTTTCCCCCCCTTAGCAAAAATTCAGGTCTGTCACCAGGAAAGAAGAGGTTTTTCTGTGGAAATCTTCCTCATGCTGGTTATAAAGCCACTCACATCTCAGTATGAACTCTGCTAGCTTGCTCCGTTGTCTTTGTGAGTGAGACGCGAAATCCACACAAAGGTTTAAAGAGCTGATCCATATAAAGATTGCTCCCTGGATTTCCATTGGGCTGCGGCTTTCTGATGACTGCATCTTTGCCGTGGACAGCTGTGCAATTGAGACAACAGCAGGACTCCAGATGTGCTGGGACTTGCTAGGCAACAGACTTAGAAGTTTGGCCAAATCAGCCCCAGATAATCACCAGCAAAGAAAAAAACAAAATGCAGGGCTGGTCCAGAGTCTTTGTGTTATTTAGGAGCAGGGGGATTCACCCAGGACAGAGATGGAGCAAGCTGCAATGGAAGGTCTACTTCTCATAGATTGTGTGAGGTCTTTTCTTTGGCTACAAGAAACTTGTGGGACATTGGAGCTGAGAGAACCTATTTACAGAGGTAGCACAGCATAGTAGTTAGAAAGCTGGGCTCATGAGTCGAGCCAATCTGTTTGAATCTTGGCCCTGCCTCTGACTAGCTGTGTGACCTTGAGGCTACTTTGTAGGGTTTTTGCTTACAACGCAATTAGAACATGCCTGACACACTTAATCATAGCTGCCCCTCCTTTTGCAAGGAGGCATTTAACAACTAGCAAGCACTGAGACGAGATAAAGATCAAATAGTTAGTAGGTAATAAAGGTTAGTCTAAAACTCAGTTCTCCTATCTCCCCACGGAGTATTCTTTTCACTACACCAGCATCTCCAGATTCACTTGATGATAAGAATCACTTGGTTGAGCGACTCTTCAATGGAGTCAGGAATCTGAATACGAATCAAACGCTCCACATGAGTCTTAAAATGCAAAAGACAAATTTGAGAAAGACTGTCACTACACCACAGTGGCTAAGATGAAATTTCTCACAGAAAGACGCTCATAAATTCATTATGCATCTCTTCTATACACACAGAAGACCGAAAAGCCAACCATGAATCTCAAGGAGTAAAAAGGACCCCAGAAAGAAAATCTAAACAGTCCTTGGGAATTGTCTTTGAGCACACAGAGTAACCAACTTTTCACAGAACTTCCAGAGTGGGAAAAAATGTGTTCGACTCACTGTGTGTGGTCTCCAGTAGCAATGGCTGAGAAGGCTTGTGGCAGCTCTCTCCCTCATACTTTAGTGTGATCAGTCGGCTCTGGGGTGATCTGGCTTTTCCCGGGACTTTGCTAGAAATTAGGGAGCTATCTGGGGCTCGTACATGTCAGGCATTCAAAGGAGAACACAGAAAAAGGGCCCCTCAGGTGAGAACAGCAGAGAAGCAGATGGTAAAAAATGTTCTTGGTGTCTCTTGAACATTAACGCCCAGGAAACTTTGTTTTAACTTTGGGTTTTTATGGCTACTTTGGGCAACCACAAAGGATAACAGAACTGTGGTAGCAGCTGCGCTGGGAGAGAAGCACGTGTCCTAAAGCATTTTAGGTACAAAGGCAGGTGGCTTCAGCTCGACTGCGGGTTATGAAATGGAAAAGCCCATTGTCGTTTTGGACTTTGCAGGGAACCGGGAGTAAATAATACTTCTCATATAGCTTTAGCCCTGTGCTATCTTAATTGCAATCTCTGGTGAGATTTGGAGTTATGCGTTTTTAACAAGCAAACCATAAAATAAGGTTTAATCTCCCCAGAGCCCTGGAGTTAATTTATCTGTCCACAGGCTAAGATCTTTTTAAAGGTTAGGAATGCTTGGGTTTTCTTTCTAGGTCTCTGGGTTGGCTGGAACGCCTGCAGGTATCTCCTACGGCTGGCGGCTGGAATCTGACTTTCATCAGCGCTAAAGACCCAGCCCTTAGGAACCTCTGCAATAAGAAATCAGGTGTTGGATTCAAGAACCATACCCCGTCCTGATGGAAAGAAATTGGTCTTCCTTAGGACCCTGTCTGTGGCAGAAAATACACATGATTTATCCCCAGAAGAAAAGGGAACTGAGTCTTTGCTCTACAACTAGGAACTGTGGGCTTTGGGGGGAACTATTTATCTGAGCTTGTTTCCTTGTCTGTAAAATGGGCATCATCAAATCTCTCCTGGAGTCTTCGTAAGTGTTCTGTGAACATTAAATGGTACGTGGATGGCTTTTATAAAAGGGTAAGGCACAAAATAGTTGTTAAGTTAGTTACTTACTTACCTGTTCTTCCAGGTGGAGTTTGTTGCCTTTTCAAAGAAGATTTTCCAACGAAGCAATGCCATGGAGAGTGTTCCCAGGTATTCAGAGCACATCGAAAACCCGATCCTGCCTCTCGGCTAGGCAGCACAGATTCACTGCCAAGATAAAAAGAGCACAGGTTATCACTCGGGCCTTGGGCCTAGTTGCCTTGCAGAATAGATAATACAGCCGGCCCTCCATGGATTCGACCAACTGCAGATCAAAAATATTCAAAAAAGTGTTTATATTGAACATGTACAGACTTTTTCTTGCCATTATTCCTGAAATGTTAGAGGATAACAGCTACCTGCCCTAGCGTTTACATCGTGTTAGGTGTTCTAAGTAATCTAGAGATGATTTAAAGTGTGCAAGGACAACACGAACATCCATGGATTTTGGTATCTGCGGGAGGTCCTGGAACCAATCCACCACGGATACCAATGGACGACTGCACACACATGATTTCCACTGTTCAGTTCAGCGGGGCCGCTTGCCCTCGTCACAGCACCTTTCCTGCCCTGCTCATTTCAGGAGGATTTGATGACTACTTCAGATTAAGCAGTTAAGGGTCTACTCTCATCCATCCTGCATTGCTGTATCCCATGGGAACAAAATGAGGGGAGTCTGCTTGTACTCTCGGCAGAGGTGAAGGAAGAAGGGCTCCAAACAATGGGTTGACGTGGCCCATTATTTACAGACCACCCTACAGACTTCCACCACCTGGAATTCATAGCCCCCTTGACTGGCATTTCCACCTCAAAGTCCTGTTACAACCCTCCCACCTCGCCTTCCTCCCTAACACACTGTTCCCTTACCCCTGGTCATATTTGCCATCCTCTGCTTTGATGAGTCTTCTTGCTGGATGGCCTTTCCCTTTTATCTCCCGCCAACTCATTTTACCTGTGAGATCTCAAACATAAGGCCGCCTCTTTCAGAAAGCCTTCCCAGATTAACGCCATCCCTAACTCCCATCACCCTTTCCTGTAAATCCCTTGGAATTTGCATATTTCATTGAGTTATCATAATAATCTCTCATCAAAGTCAGCATGGCCAAGGATAAGGATGGTGCTTACTTAACCAGTGGTCCTTGGGAAAAGCAATTCTGTCTTCTGTGCCCTGCTCCCTTGGAGCCTAGCTAAACTTACCCATAGGGAAGCTGCCGATGGATAGGGACCAGGTTCAGGAGATAGGGGAAGCTAGTGCCATGGCTTGGCAGTTCTCCCAAGCCCCACATTAAAGTGTGTTTATGTGTTCCTAGCTTTCTCAGTGGCAAACCATGTGCCAGGGATAAAGGATTAGGGACTATGTGTCAAAAGGGAACAGAATTGTTTCTCTAAAATATAGTATTAATCCCATCACTCCACACCTCAGTAAGTCTTTCCTGGTTTCCCATGATACAAAAAAGAAAAGCCACATTCCTCAGCCTGGTAGACCAGCCTCATGCAGCTGCACTCCCTCACTGCCATGCCTCACACCTCATCACTCTCCTCCCCAACCCCATTCCCTGGATCCCCCTTCGGCTCAGATGATACCTTCCAACCTAAAGTACCCAAATGCACTAGTTCTGCCACTCCTCAGCACCTTTCTTCTGTGGCTCCCTCCATCTGGAACTTCTTTTGCCATCTTTCCACCTGCCCACATGTAATCCAGGCAGCTGAAATCATACCTCCAAGAGGGTTTTATCAGATCTCCCTGAGTCAGAATCAAGTTTGCCTTCCTGAGGCTCCCGGAGTGTGTTGTTTTTTGTCCACTTATATTTACAGGATGCAACCACCTTCTGCTAGAAGTACCCGTGAGGAGGACCACTTCCCTGCTGGGCTGGGACTCTGCCTTCATCCTGCCACCTAGTTTAACACCTGGCATTCGGGAGTCACTCAACCAATACAAAGCAGAATTAGGTTACTAAAGGATGCCTCAGGACATCACGAAAACCCCCAACCTTCCTAACTCTTCTACCACATCCTCCCCGCCCTGTGCCTGTCTTCAGCGCAGCATCAGCACCCAGGCAGGCAGAGCTCCTGCTCTTTGTCCTCATCCTCCTGGTGTTTGCAGGCTGCACGGGCAGCCGAGGCCTCCTGTTGGGGACCTGCTACTGCCTCCTTGGCCCAAGACAGGAGGCTGGCAGCTGCTGAAGCTGAACCCATGAAAGGGGAACCTGTGGTCCGTCTCTACCTGCCTCAGGTGCTTCTCAAAGAGAGACTCGGCCTCTCCCATTTGCTTTTGTCTGTGGCTTTGAAGCTATTTGGGAGACACCTTGAGACAGCTGGGGAAACAGCAATAATCCAGTTGAAGCATCTGACACTCTGGACTGGTGGCATCTTGGCGGGGAGGCAGTGGACACGGGGAGGCTGTTGCTGGTTTCGTCTGTGATATGTGTTTTACTGGCTGTCGATATCTACAGGGAAAACACTCCCAGTGAGATTCACAGATAAAAACCAGTGGCCTCTGCTTCCTCCCTGGGGTGTTTTCATGAGAAATTGGTTTCTGGGCAGGGAGGGGACAAGACTCCTCCTTTTTTCACTCACCTTGAGGGCATTTGGAGGGGTATGAGAGAGGGGAAAAGGTGAAGCGGGGGGAAGTAAATCGAAGGAACCACCAAGGTGTGAAAAGTCACAAATATCTCCCTGGCTGAGAGAGCCCTTTCAGGGTGAGGGACTGAGCCCTCCTTCCTGTGTGGATTTTTTTTCTCCTACTCTTACCCTCAGTCCATTTCCTCACTTTCTCTCTTTACTCTGTAGGTCATTGTCACTATCCCATCTCTGGGCATCTCAAGGGGTACTTTGAGCCCAAAGCCAGAAACTGTCCCTTGGAAATTAGAGCACAAGTCCCTACAATATCAAAGCTCACAGCAAGAACTTACAGAGCTGAGCTGGCACCTGAGGGTGGGCTGCTGCTGCTCTTCCCATCTCCCCACTCCAAGTAAGTGGCTCCCAGCACCCCACCCCCAATTCCCATTTCGGCCTCCCTTGCCCACCTTCCAGCCACCCGCTTCCCGAATGCACCTGAGTCGGCGCATTGGCTCAAGCCCCCCACACCACCCCAGGCCAGGGCCCCAGCAGGCTTTCCCTACACCCCGCTCCAGGCTGACTTGACTGTGTGAAAGCTGGGAAAAGTTAAATGCTCTTCCCTTCATTATCAGAAAGAGTTTTATTCTGACTGAAGTGAACAATATGAAGAGACACTACAGAGCTCTGGCGAAGGATGAAAAGTTTCTTATATCCACAGAGCCACACTTCAAAGTGTCCTGTGAAAAGGTTCCACTTTAATTAGGGGGAGGAAATTGCCATGTAACTTAATTAATATCAAAAACATTTTTTTTCCCTTCAACACAAGAAAGAAAGATGGCTAGAGAGAGACAGGGAAAGGAACTGACGGTGAATGTGGACAGGCCTGCTCGCGGTCAGCATAATGATAAACTTTGTTTCTAATTACTTCAAATATGTCCTAGGTTCAATTAAGAACTCTAAAGCCACAGAGGGTTCTTTGCCACAATGGAGGTCTTCCTCCTTCATCCCTGATGCACTGGCCCTTATACAAAATAAAGTGAAAACCTGAGATGGTTTTATTTCAGAAGGAGACACAGAAACCCTGTTTTATTTCAATTATCTAGGAAGTATTTGCAGGAAGTGGTATGGGAGAGCGGGATCATCAGCTCCCAGTGCCTTTGACGGACATGCTCCTTCAAAGGCACCCCGTCCTTGTCATACAGCTCACCTTCCTCTCTCCCAGCTGCTCTGGGGGAGACTTCTGGGCATTTGCCTGGTTTCCCTTGTCTCTTCACTATCAAGCCATCAGATCTCTCCTACCTCCCAAGTATCTCTCAAATCCGTCCTCTTCTCTATTGCCACCATACAGAGTCACTTCTCATCTACCCCAAAGGATTTACAAATAAGCTCCTAACTGGTCTTTTCATTTTTTCTTTCTTGCCCAGTGGAACCTAGTCTTCGGCCAACAGCAAAAATGACCTTTTACAAGACATAACATCATGCCATTCCTTTGTTTAGAAACCTGTGATGCTGTCCCATCATTCTTGGGAAGAAAACTTAAGATTCCTTAGCGAGGACCACCAAGACCCTGTTTGATTTTGTCCCTGTCTAACCCTCTCATTTTTGTTCTTGACCACTATCCAGAGCGTCAAAGTCTTTGTCATGTTCCTTCTGTTTAGGACACTCTTCCAGACCTGTTTCACCCACTAGATCTCAGTCTAAATTACCCTTATGTATCTTTTTTGAGCCCCAACTTAAATATTGCCTACTCTGGGAAGGATTATGAGACACCATTTCTCCCACCCCCAGTCTAAGTTACATACTCCCGTAGAATACTACACATCATAATTGTAATCAGTTAACTGTGTGGCCAAATACCAGTTTGATATTTGTCCCTGGACCGTAAGCAGGTAGAAGTAGAGACCGTGTCTGTTTCGTCACAGTTATTTGCCCAGCTGCCTACTCAGAATCATGGCAAACAGTGTTCTGATCTCCATTAGATCATGTCAATCACATAACAAGCCAGTGAGGTGTACTATTTTATAAAACCCACTTCACAGATGTAGAATTTGAAGCACAGAGGTCAAATACTCTCAAAGTCATGCAGGTAGCAGATGGCAGTCTTGCTCCTGAGTCCTGCTTTTCATCACGGTGCTGTGCTCACACGGGAAGAACCACAATTGCTGAAGAAGGAAGAAGCCAGGAAAATGGATCTTGAATAGTTGGAGAAGACTGATCAGAAGATACTAGGCTTGACTCCATGGACCCAGACCTCCAACCCATGGAAATGTCCCATCCTGCCCAACACAATCTGTCTTCAACACTCCTGGGAAAGGCTTCAGCTTCATGACTCTTACTAGGAATGAGCATAACCTGAGAAAGTGTCCTGAGAATGTTAAGACATGGGTTAAACTCAACAATTTTTTTTTTTTTGGACAGAGTTTCGCTATTGTTACCCAGGCTGGGAGTGCAATGGCATGATCTCAGCTCACCGCAACCTCCGCCTCCTGGGTTCAGGCAATTCTCCTGCCTCAGCCTCCTGAGTAGCTGGGATTACAGGCACGTGCCACCATGCCCAGCTTATTTTTTGTACTTTTAGTAGAGACGGGGTTTCACCATGTTGACCAGGATGGTCTCGATCTCTTGAC